CAAAACACCCCCCTGCAGTGCTGGTGCTGCTGATAAGAGCAGACAACACTAGCCCCCGGGGGAAGGCTCCATCTATTGGTGGGGAGCGTCACCTGCTGGAAAACGGGTCCAGCGTCCCTTACACTGATAGAAACAATTGCAAGAAATGTGAATGAGAGGGACGCCTGCCAGCATTGATTGCTCTGTCACCAGAGGATTGACTGTGCAGGTTGGTGGACAAGGGATAACCTCTTCACCCTGTGCAGGGCGCCAGAATCCTATCACTGAAGAACTAGTTTACCCCATCCCCAGCATTATAGGACAGGAACATCATCCAACTGCAACTCGAATAGAGTTATGCGGTAACTGACTAAACATTTCTTTTATATCAAAAGCCGCACCTGTCAGCTCCCCGCAGCCCTTCCTTCCCTAATCCTATCCTGCAGCACGTTCGTTGATTTCAGATTGAAATGTTCGGATTTCGGGAGCAGAAACAGCAAATGATTCAGTGCTCTCGCAACACGTCGTCCCAGTGCGCGTGGGCTCGGTGAAAGATGGGCTAATAGGTCGGAACCTACTTATATCCTTATTTTCGGGATAACGTAGGCTCGACCACATCTACCATTCTTGTCCCATTTTCCCAAACACGCATTCAATCCTCGCTGCTTATACTCCATCTCACATTTAAATTTTAATTGTCACTTCCGCTTCCGATTCCCAGACAGCAGAGAAACTTTCATTACCCCAAGAGGTTTTTTTTATTGCTCATGCATAGACTGTAGGACACATAATAGCTGTCTCTGCAGGATTACGGTCAAGTGCTGAGCACACCATACCAGAGCAAAGTTCCCTCACCGTCTCAAGATCCTTGTCCTGATTACCCCCCGTCCTCCTATTCCTAACACACTCTCGAATCTCATGCAATCCAACCGAGGCTTCTACACCGGGGGGCCCGCGTGGAAGGGCTCTCGCTCAACGGATCAAAGGTACTCCGGGGATAACAGGCTGATGACTCCCAAGAGCTCATATCGACGGAGTCGTTTGGCACCTCATCATCTTTGGGTACTTACACAGTAATGTGTAGGCGCGAAGCTGGATATATGCTGGGAACTCCGCCGAGTATCCGACCAAAACTGTCATTAACTTCTTGCATAATCAATCTTTCCCGAGTTGGCTCTGACTGATGCGGAATGTTTCTTGCATTCTTCACGAAATCAGAGATCCCATCTACCTCGCTTAGACGACATGAATCGTGACCCTCCACACGGGGGAGGGCGCTGTTTGCACAGAGGCAAACTCCCACCAACTGCTGTGAAGCATGTCGGTGATTATGGAGGACTTCCCCAACCGAACGATTTTTCTTCCATGTGATTAGTAGCCTCCGACACGCAAACGTCGCTAGCAATTCAGGTAGGGTATCACGGATTTTACTGACCACTAATTTCCGAATAGCACAACTTGACAAAGTTTGATCATATGTCACCCCAACACAAAACTGTTTCCTAATATTAAACCCGATATTTCTGCCAAATGACGCCGGCCAACGTGTCCCTCAGTGAAGCTTGGGTTCCTGCCCTGGAGAACAGGTTGATCGCAGATGTCAGTCGTACCAATTTTTCCAAATCATACTTATACAGTTTCTTTTTATAGCATTTGTTACGAATGATCTGATGCAACTCTCGTTTCAGATCAGCCTTGTCCTCGGACAGAGTTCTGGAGCCCTTCCAGCTTCACGACCTCGAAAACTCCCCCTTGTTCAAGATTTTTCCGAGCCAGATACGTTCATAATTGGCTCACACAGTGTCAAAGAGAAAAGAAGTGGATGCGCAGGCAGAAGACGGATAAGATGGAAGGCAAGAAGGGGGGGGGGAGTGGGAGCATATATAGTATATACTCGCTCGAGGACTTTTTTGACTGAACTCTGGACGGAATTGCGGTCAGATACGTTCTGCTTAAGGTGGAATTCCGGTCAGGTGCATCCGGGAAGGCCCTAGTGAGTGTACCGAATACTCGCACTAGGATTTTCACGACTTAATCTGGCTGTAATTGCGGCCAGATACATTCAGGATTTTACACGAGGTCAAACGGAAACGAAGTGGACGTACTTCCAGAAGCCGCATAAGTTGGAAGGGTAAAAAAAAAAAAAAAAAAGTTGGAAGGCAAGCCTGGAGTGACTGCCCAAGGAGCTCATTCACGCTAGAATTTTCTGGACTGAATCGGGCCGTAATAGTGGTCGGATACATTCGGGATCGGCACTCTAGGTCAAGTGGGAGTGTGCTTCCACAAGGCGGATTAGTTTGAACTTTGAAGGCAAGCTTTGAGGAGGGAGAGCGCATATTCACACTTGTAACTTTCTGGACTTCATCAGGTCGTAATTTTGTCCAGATACATTCAGGAAAGAACAAGTGCGAGTATTCCCCCTCCCCTTTCCTTAGGATCTGCACCATGGTTTTTTTTTTCTTTTTGCTGAGAGAAAAAAAGGAGAAGACTTGGGCTTGCGGCCTAGCAGCCCGTGTTCAGAAAGAGTGCAGTGTTCTATAAATTGGTTATGAAAGGGAAAAAGAACTGAACAGTTGAATGTACCTGAACGCAATTGCGGCCAGATACATGCCTCCTCCACCTGTGTTCCGAAAGACTTAGTGTGCATTGTTCTGTAAATTGCTTATAAAGGAAGAAGAGAACTTCACAGTTGCACGTATCTGAATGCCATTGCGGGCAGATACAGGCCTTGAAGTCCTGCCTTTTTTTATTGTTGTCAACTTTTAAGTGCCATGCGTGGAAGGCCATGCCTTATGTATGGAGATGCTGTAACTTCTTCTTCTTCTTCTTCTTCTTCTTCTTCTTCTTCTTCTTCTTTAACCATATTCACGCTGGGATTTTTTTTTTTCTGTGTGTCCGACTGCAAGTAGGGCAGGACGTGAATGTACCCTGCCGCACAGAGAATCCGTAAAAAAAGTGGCTGGTGTGGATATGGCCTTAGTATGAATGAAGTCGTGAAAGGTGGGTAGGGGGGAAGTTGTGAAGGGGTGAATGTGCGGACACAGTCAGAATAAGTTTGTTCAAAGGGGAAAGGTAATGGGAAAAAGAAAGAGAAACAAAAAAAAAGGAAATAAATATCATGGAAAAGAAAAGGGAAAAAAAAAGGGAAAGACAATGGTGGAAAAAGAGTACTGGGGCAGTTTCCCGTTTTTTTTTTTTTAAACCTAGGCTACCAGAGTGGCCCGGGGTCAACTGCCCGTCCGGGGCCCCCCAAAAAACAAAAAAAAAAATTCAAAATTTATTTGTTATTCTAAATTTGGTGAAGAATTTATCGATGTGACCCTGAGGCAAAAGTTGTTCAGTTTATTTTTCTGCATGACCTAGTTTTTTTCGGATTTTTTTGATTTTTTGATTTTTTTGATTTTTTTTGCTGGGACCCTTCTTGGTCCTTCCTTGCACAGGCTGGCCGCCCGGGTCCCGGGCGGCCCGGCTGGTAATCTAGTTTTTAACACAATTCCATTCACGTTAAATCCAACAAAAATTGTGACCAGGCCAGGATCATCCTGACAATCCATCCCCTGGGAGCATTACCCAGTTTAGCGTACGGCCAAATGGCTCTCCATGAATCTCTCACACAACTACTACAATCTTGGGACACATTTCTAAATCTATCTTCCAGTATAAGCTTCCTAAGAGAATATACTCACACACACACACACACACACACAAAAAAAAAAAAAAAAAAAAAAAACACTCACAATACACTCACACTAGCCCCTCAAAATTGCAGAATCGCAAAAAATGAGCGGCCAGATCGAGTCCTTTCACAGGGACTCAATCCGGCTGCTGATTTTGCGATTCTGCGATTCTGCGATTTTCAGGGTATTGTGTGAGACTGTGAGTATTCCTCCAAGTATCATCATTTTAACACCTACTTTGTGTGAGTATGCCCTAAGTATCCTGATCTACTACCAACCACTCTCTACGCTA